CCGTTTCGGCGGTGCGTAGTGTTGCAAGTTTTGGCAGATGTGATTTTGAAGCCCCATGTACGCATTGCGCTTGTTAGCTAAAAAATAAATTGGCAGCATATCCACGGACCGAATGATGGAGAGTGGGGTGAAGCATTCGTCCGTCCATACGTTCTTGCTTCCGTCCATCTATGCGTCCGTCTATGTGACCGTCCATGCGTCCATCCATGCATCTGTCTACGTGTCCGTTCGTCCATCTATTCAACACTCCAAGTACCACCATCTCGCATCTTTTCATCATATATTCTCCCTATAGAAGCTCCGCCATCCAGCGGACATTACAAGGACTAAACGAGAGGTGGCACACGTACACTTTCTTACGGCTTGCGCTTTGGGTCTACTTCCCACCTTTAATCACCTCGAGTTCATGGTATATACTAGTTCACTGTATTCATGGCACTGCGGCCCAACGCTCGCTAAACCTTTCTAAAACCAAGAAGGTTACGCCCAGCGAGCATAACGTAGCAACCTTTTCCTGTCAGATAGTGCTCAAGGTACATGCCAAAGGCTGCGAATGGGAAAGAGACAGGAGAATTCGGCTTTTACTTACGGCTTGCGCTTCGTATCTACTTCCCACCTTTAACCTCCTCGAGTTCATTCATGGTATATACTAGTTCATTGTATGCATGGCACTGCGGCTCAATGCTCGCTAAACCTTTCTAAAACTAAGGAGGTTACACCCAGTGAGTATAACGTAGCAACCCTTTCTTGTCAGATAGTGCCTAATGTGCATGTCCATGGCTGCTAACGGGGATCGAAGCGTGCGCGTTAACTAAAAGCCGAATTCTCGTGTCTCTCATTTTCTCACCGAAGAAATCTCTCACCGACACCACCTTGGAGGTCAAAATGATATACTTCTTACATGCTACAACGGCTACGAGGAACGAACGGGTACTGCTATAAGAAGCTTCGCCCCTAAAATGGTCAAACCTAGTGAGTGGCCCTCTAAAGAACCCCAAGTGGGGAAAATTTCCGGAGCCCTCCCCTACAGGGGCTTTCATAATGATGTCGGTGTTTGGAGACGTTAAAGATCAATTATTTTATCATATTGTTTTGTTGACATAAGACCTCGTGGGCAGTTTCAATAGATTAACTTTTAGAAAACGGTGATTGTCACTAACAAAAAGAAGCCATTGCAATTTCGGTCTGACAATGCGCGGGATACACTAAGAAACGTCCAGGGATTTGTGTACCTCCGTGTTGTATTTCCTGCAGGCTTTAAGTGGCTAAAACACGTTTATCTTACCTGTGTAAATTCGCTTAAAGGTTAGATAACTTAAATAATGGTAAATGTGCCACAAAAAATACTAACCTCAGGTGGTCAAAATTTTCGGAGCCTCCACTACGGCGTCTTTCATAATAATATGGCGGTTTTTGGGACGTTAAATTCCGCATATCAAGAATGCTAATCTGTAGCTGATCAGCCACCGGTCAGGCTTCTTGAATGAGCATCAGTAGACTGGTCACCACATTTTGCAAACGACAAAGATAAACTTGAATTCATATTCATTTTCATTCGCAACGAACAAAACTTTTCTCAGAGCACTTCCAAAGTTTATCCCTGAAGCGTTTTGAGCCCCAATGTATGTGTGATCGCTTTATCAAGTTTACTTAACAGTGTACACTAATCTGTCTGCATAGCTTTCACCAGTCATTTTTTTCACCAGTAATACTACCCATGTAACCCACCAATACAATCTTCGAACATTGTGTTATTCCTATCTTAAATTGATCGTTACAAATATTCTTTTTTCGCGTGCATAGTTGAGACTTGAAATACCTTTGTCATCCTTTGAGACGACTACCCCGTGCGCAATTTGCAAAAGTAAGCGTCCAATTATGTCTTTTAATATTTTCATTTTTTGTGTGTTGCTTATAACCACTCCTGAAATGTCTCAAGCAGGAGACAACAGTGCGTGTAAACAAAACACATAACAGACGCCGGTACCTGTATTTTGTCGTGTACCCTCGCTAAACACGTCATATAATGTATATGAAAATCGACGTGCAAAGCCACAAAAGAATTCGGCTGGTCCTGGTGCCATTCGTGAAGCTATATCTTCAATACCGTGTGGAATTTATCGCTTATTGGCGACTTTCCGCTGCGGACGCGGGTTTATTTGGCCGCTGATTGGCTCAGAACAATTCGACTCATGCAGCGCTCGACAGAAGCCATGACATTTTTTATTCTTGTTCGCGTCTAGCTTGTTCTTCTCTTTGCTGATATCCCCTCTGAACCTTCCTTCTTCAGCAATCTCCCTTTCAAGCCGCCCTTTATGTGGACGTTGTAGCTCTTCCTTCTTTATTATTTTTTGAAATGCGAATGCATTTATCAGTCGGGTTATGTCAGGCATCCGGCGTTGTCCGCGCACCAGCAGGTGTTATCTCTCCGCTCTCACTCCCTCTCACATTGCAGCAGCTGTGGAGGCGTGCGCTTATCCTCACCCCTAGAAACTGGAGCATGTGGTGCGAGAGAGTGTAGGCAAGGGTAGGTCCAGTGCTTCGCCACTCCTTCTCTCGCTCTTCGTTCTCTCTCATCCTCGCGACCCACCCTCCCGTCCGCGCGTCTCACTCTTGACCGTTCGCTGACTGGGCACCTCTCGAGGACATCCTGAAATGTTTGCTCCAGACGCCGCTGTGAAATGCCTGCGCCGAGAACGCTGGCGCTCCACTCTTCCGTCCGCTCGCTCCTCACTGTCGATCGTTAGCTGGCTGGGCGCCTCTCCAGGCGATGGCAAAATTCGGTGTAGGCGAATGTCTGACGGCAACGGTACCATCTTTGGAGAGGTGCAGACATTTTAATGACGATAGTCTTTCTTGGGACATTCGACAAGAAAATATTGGTCTGTCTCTCTGTCTGTACATTTGTCTGTTTGTCCACCCAACGATACCTCAAACGGCACCAAACGGCCAACTCCATCCGCAGCGCCAACCAATATTGCTCAAGATTTAGCGTTCATAATTGTGCGATTTTCAATTAAAAAAGCATATATTGCGCATATCTGAGGCGCCATAACAGCATGTACATGTTTTGTATGTCTGCCTTTATACTAGAAGAGGCACACACAAGTAACAAGGACTGTAGCAATTAACGCGCTGCGCTGACAGTGCAACGCGGTGCTCAAGAAAGTGTTTCCAACGCTATGCTACGAGCACGGTGGGGGCACCTACCCGTCGCTTTCCAATCCACACCTATCACCTCTGTGACTGGCACGCATCTTTCTCCGCGGTCGCGCACGCCTTCGTTTTCGAAGATAACTGCCAGATGGCACTCGTGCCTAACGTGCCTAGATGCGCTTGTTCGCCTCCGTTACACGCTCGAGGCACTCTAACGCAGCGCCTTCATAATACCATTCACCGATTTTCTTGCGCAGCAGAACATCAAATAAACGTTTTGTTCACTTTCTCCAGACGCAAGACAATCGAGACATTTGTGGTGTAACATGTAGATTCGGGCCAATTTTTTATCAAACCGCAGTGGCTGCTCTGTTCTTATGATTATAGGTGACCAGAGGTTTAAGTGTTTGTTTTTATAAAAATACATTTACTGAGAGCTTTGCGCTTCGGTGCAAAGCCTAAGTAGTCAAGCTCATCGAGCGTCGAACTACGCCAGCTGGTTCGACGCAGGCAAAGGGAAAATTTTACTTGTATTGTAACGATGCTTGTGGCATCTTTTTTTTTCATTGCGGCCCTTTGCGCTAACCACGTGTAACCACACACCTTCCAATCGCGATGATGTTGACCTTATTTTTTAGGTCTTCCTAAGCTTCCGTATACTTCGCGAGTCTGTTAGCTAGCGATTGTACAGTGGCATCTTGTACTTTCTTAACGTAGCATTCATCCCAAAACAACTTCCTATTCAACTTATAAATGCACCAGTTTAAGTCACGTTCTATTGGTTGTCACCCAATGATGAAAATATACCATACTGCGATCACTGAAGGTGAGTAGTTTCACAGCTTAGTGGCATATTCATGGGCGTCGTAGGAGAGTTCAAGCAATTTTGGGTATTTTTTTATGTTTGATTAACACACACAGGTCACACATATCGGTCTGAAACGGCCTTTAGGATTGTAAGCCAACCTTGCAGGTTACGCATTGTTGCCTGATACTGGTGGTCATGATTCTCTAATGATTGATACGTGGGGTCTGACATCCTAAAACCACCATATGATTAAGAAAGACGCTGTAGTGGAGGGCTCTGGAAATTTCGACCACCTGGAGTTCTTTAACGTGCGCCCAGATCTGAGCACACGGGCCTACAACCTTTCCGCCTCCATCGAAAAGAAGCCGCCGCAGCAGGGATTTGATCCCGCGAACTGCGGGTCAGCAGCCGAGTACCTTAGCCACTAGACCACCGCGGTGGGGCCAAGATGCTGCTACTCCTGTGGCCATTATGTACTGTGTTTTATTGCTGAACTAGGGTGTGGAGCATATTAGCATTTTTGTCACGCAGTCTGGTTCTCTTAGTACGATAATCAGCATTTCAGACGGAATTGAGTCATGCCAGAAGGGCAGCATATCTATCACAAGTGAGATGCTGCTCAATTTCGTTCTTGCATATTGCTAGGCACATACACAGAAGCAGGCTTCACTGATAACAGTTAAAAAAACTATATGGAGTAAACTGGCCAGTTTCTGTTCTGAAAAACCTGAACTTTTTGGCACCAAAAGAAGACAGCTACAGGACGTGCCTATGACATAGGTTATGCACTTGTTACGGAACCTTACCGGTGCTTGAAATTCTTTCTTAAAATGACCCCATACAGGCACCATGTGTAGTAAGGAATCGCTTCAACAAATTTCAGTAATCACGTTAACAAATACCATCACACGGTCCCAATGCGAGGGCCGATGTAGAGCTCCTGTTGGTGATAACGTTCCTCAATGATACTGTGAGTGGTTCGTCAAGCTTTTTCACCGTGTCAGATCCAGCTCTAAACGTGACCACTCACGCGCAGGACCATTGGTGCTCGCAGCTAGGGGCTTCGGTGCCATCACTGGTGGCGCCTTGGTGGCCCGTTGGAACCTGCACTACGCGGGCATGATACGCCTTTGCATGTATAGCTGCTGCTTCTCCTGGTTCGGCAATCTTGCCTTTGTCTTCAACTGTCCGGAGCGCACATACACCACCCCTGATGGTTACGTTGGCGCACCGTGAGTTTCCTTTGCCACATACTCTTAGCGCATGCGCATAGCATTTCTAACATGAATGCCTTGATTGATATGAGGGAATTAACGTACAAAAACCAAGCATAAATGCAATCTTGTAAATAATAAAAAAAGAAATGAATTATTAAGCAAAAACATTTTTAATTGTTGTCAATGGCTGGTCTATAAACTCCGAAGTACAGGCTGGAGTGTGAGCGTCTTCTCATTATTTCATTGTCTTTATGGTATGACGTGTGCACCGTTGTTTCAGTAACATTACCCAGGGCAAAGCGAGGAGGTACAAGGCGTTAATTTCTTCTCCCTAACTGCTTTGTCGTTTCCTTGTTTATAGTTTGTTCCTTGTTGTAGTGCTTCCTGTCAATAAATAATGAATTATTCGTGTATATCAAGAAGTTGCTTCTTGCTAAAATTTTGAGCAAAAAAAAAGTAGTCCCCACATATTCATTAGGTGAATGATTAGTGCTAAAGGTCTTGAGGTAGTCTTGTAAATCGTGAATACTCGGTACATTTTGCCCGTTAGATCATTACGTAACGACATGGCAAACATGGGGCGGTATAGTACATACACACACAAGCGCTTAATTCGTCACCGTATATGGTAGTGAGAGGCGGCTTCCGTTGGCCCTACATAATGACCACTTTGTGGTCAGTAAAGTGAAGCGAAAATGGTTCTTGGATCGGATACAGTCTGAAGCTTATACTAAGCGTGCGTCGGCTTGACGACGAGCCCGCACTGGAGCTTTTTTGCGAGCCCTCCACCCTGCCACCTTGTTTTTAATCATATTATCGAAGCGCAATGGACTGACGACTATCGAAAGAGACAGAAAGCGTGCGAAGAGCAAGTGCGATTTGTAGTTTTGGCCCTCTAGCAGTCTCATAACAAACTAAAGCACGTGCCTGAGTCTAGCGAGTGCAGCAGAGTCATCTAGTCGTCTCCATTCAAACTAGCAGCGAGAGCACAGCTTTGCCTCTAGTGAGCGTTGAAAGCACTAGCGGCTGGTTAAGGCTATGGGGGGACAAGCCTCGACCATAAGAAGCTTCGCACCTAAAAAATGTCTTCCTAGGATCACTGTTTGAGTCAACTTATGGACGTTGATATGAACGCTCTCTTGAGTTTCAGCATGTTTACATAGCTCCGAGTCAGATGGTCCACAGCGCAAGAGACGATGAACAGCCAGTTGAAAGCGCAGTTTCTCCTATACAGTTGTGTCCTAAAGTGTAGCATTATATGGTGAGGACATGACATTTTTTCTTCTTCGGCTGCAGGAAACCCACAAGCTAGAACTTCGATTGCAACTTCGACTGCAACTGCACTTCGAGCGTCTTGAACCCCGTCCTGCGCTGCTGATTCTGTGGTCTACCTGTCTCCATGCCTTGCAGGCTGCCGCAAGGAGCTTCAGGCGGAGTACACAACGACAGTGGTTCATATTCATTTTTGCTTGTTTTTCCAATTATCGACATACTACCCATCTGGGCTTAGTATTGGGCTTAGTATTGGGCGAGTTCCAAAAGCTGAATGGCTAACAACCGCGAAATTACAGTGGCAGGCAGCAGATTAACGAGTCGCAGTACTCATTCCTAAAGCTTTCTTATAGCAAGCGTTCTTTGCTTGTGGATGGTTACTTTAGCTGACATGAGCGTCATTGAATTAACTGAGAGTTTATCTTTCAAATGATTATTGTACAAGATATATTTAGTTAATACTGGCCAAGGAAACCGAAGGATTCACCCGTCGAGATTTTGTCATAGTGCTGCTTGACTGCCGAACAGAGAGTTCCAGGATAGAACTTTGCCGCGGTAGAGCATTTTGATGGAGGCAATATGCTCGAAGTCTGTGTGCCTAGGTTTAGTTGCATGTTTACAGGACTCGGGCAGGGGATCAAAATTTGCGGAGCCCTCTTTTACTTGCATCTTACATATCCCGTCATGGTTGTGGGATGTAACGCTCCAACAATTGTTCGAAAACGTGTCATGAAGAAAAAAGGGAAACTGAAATATTAAAGGGGCACTGTGGTCACGTTTGCCAAGACAAAGCCGATCTACCCACTGCGCTTAATTTTGGTGCAGTTGTAACAAGGAACTGTATTTGAAGGCAGTTGACTTCTCAACAGTCTTTTGCTTCTAAATACAGCTACGCAATGTGTTTTGCAAAATCACCCATTCTCGTCATGTGGGTAGTTTTAGCTATTCAGCGAATGCTCCTGCGTTAACGGCACGCTGAACGACTTGGCGGACGTGAGTGCGGATTGGCTCCTGCAGCAGTCTGTGCAGGTGATCCGATCGCGCTGCCCTGCTAACTGCCCACTACTGGTCGTCTACCTGCTCGGCGTGCTCCTTGCGACCCTCGCGGTCTTTCTCAACGCAGCTCCGGCCACTGAAGCGGCCATCAGGTAAATAAGCCGCCTTGGTACGTTTATATAGGTGCGTTATTTAATCATCATCATCAGCATCATCATCATCATCATCATCATCATCATCATCATTTGCCTGACTACACCCACTGCAGAAAAAACGCCTCTCCTATGTTCGGCCAGTCAACTCGGTGCTGTGCTTGCTGCTGCCACTTTATAGTCGCAAATTTCCTAATATCATCTCCCCACATAGCATTCTGTCTCCCCCTCATTCACTTGCCTTTTCTTGGAATGCAGTCTGGGATCCTTAATGACCAGCGGTTATGTTGCCTTGTATTTGTACCCTGCTGATGACCATTTCTTCTTAATGTTTTCGACTATGGTGTCCCTAGCGCCTGTTTGTTCCCTGAAACACTCTCCATTTTTCTTGTCCCTTAAGGTTACATGTATCATTTTCCTTTCCATTGCTCGCTGCATCGTCTTCAATTGAATTTGAACCCTCTTTGTACTCCTCCAAGTTTCTGCTTTTCAGCTAAGTACAGGTAAGGTGTTATATATTTTTGTCTTGACGGTTAGTGACACTCTATCAATCATGATTTCAGAATGCTTGCCGAATGTGCTCCACTCTATTGTTCTTCTAGTTACTTTAATCGCGTGGCTCGGCTAGTTCGTTACTATACCTGTCCGAAGTAAATGTACTTCTTTACAACATCAAGTGCACTGATACCTATCTCGAAGCGCTGTTCTCTTCCGAGGCTGTTGCTCATTTCTTTCGTTTTGTGCAGGTTAAATTTAAGTCCTGCCTTTCTGCTCCACTTCTCCAATTCAGTAATAATTAATTGCAATTCGTTCCCTGTGTTACTCAGCAACGTAGTGTCATCGGCAAGGCGCAGGTTATAAGGTACTCTTCATTAACTATCATTCCTAACCCTTTCATGCTGGGCCTCAAAAACATCCTGCAAGCACGCGGTAAATAGCATTAGAAGATCGTATACCCTTGTCTTGTACCCTGCTTTATTGGTATTCAGCCGCTTTCTTTATGGGTCACTATAATGGCAGTCGATCCTCTGTAGGTTTCTTCCAGGTTGTTTATATATGTTTCGTCGACGCCCTGATTCCGCAGTGTCTGCATGACTGCTGATATCTTGACGGAAACAAATGCTTCTCGTATGCTATAAAAGCTATGTATAGCAATTGGGTATATTCTGCGTGTTTCTCTATCCCCTAATTGATAGTATGAATGTGGTAATTATTGAATAGTCTGTTTGAAATCTTAGTTGTTCCTTTGGTTGATGGAATCGTAATGTTGTCTCACTTTTGTTTGCAATTACTTTACTAAATAGCTTGTATATGACGGAAATCAATCTGATTGGTCTGTAATTTTAAGTTCTTGTCATCTCCTTCCGTAGGTATTAAGATGATGTTAGCATTTTTTAAAGATTCTGGTGCCCTTCCTGTCAGGAGACACTTCGTAAACAAGGTGCCTAGTCTTTTCAACACAATATGTCTCCTCCGTCTTTCAGTAGATCTGATGTTACTTGATCCACACCATGCAGCTTCGCTTCTTTGCATTACCTTCAAGGCTTTTCTGACTTACTGGTAGAATGTCATCTGGGTTACTGCTAGTTCTTACAATACGGTCATTGTTATCCCTGCTACTGTACATATCTGTGTAAAACCAACCCGCTACTCTAACTCTGCTATCAATATTGGTAGTTATTTTGCCTTCCTTGTCCCCTTAGTGCATACATATGGTGCTTGCCTACCCCAAGTTTCCCCTTCACCACTTTGACGCGCTATTTAATACCAGCGGCTACCTGTTCTTGCAGTGCACGTTTGAGAATGAGTTGGCTGAAAAGGTGCATTGAATAGCAATCTGTGTCAAGAGTTAAGTAAGTGGTTACTAACCGTAAAGTTTTATTGAAGGTTTTGGAGAGAGGGAGAATCAAGCAACTTCATTGAAGCGAAGAGGAGGATTTTTCACAGGATAGCAGTGAGCCCATACCTGGCCACCACCTCCATCGCCCGCTCCCCGGAGCTGTATGTCGAGGCTCGGATTGCTGAGTACACTGTTACAGGCCTCGGTTGAGTGAGTACTCGGGAGATTAGGAGGGGGTTGGGGAAAGTGATTATTGAATAGAAAAACAGAAGAAAGTGAACCCTGCAACAGTCTGCATCAAACTGCAACACCTCAGCATTTGCTTACAAAAGAAGAGATAAGAAAGCAATAGAAGAGATTGGGAGGGACGTAAATATTGAGCGAAAAGTATAAGCCTGGGATACGGTTGGAGAGGTCCATGCACGGGGCCCCGATCAGCGAGTGGTCGTTGAAAAGAGAACACGATGGATGAGGCAGCCGTCAGTCACGAAATCCGCAGAGCGTTGTTAGGAAAAGAACGAGCTATCGTCGCCATGGCGAAGCCCCCCGGTCACGTCTTCTTTTATTGGAACACAGGCTCTTCTCAGTACAAACTCGTCCAGCCTCTACACCACTACCCTTCTTCTTTTTCTTTGTGCCGGCGCCAGGCACAATTTCCAACAAGCGTCGCAGAGGCAGGGTGGATCCTCGCTGCAGCCCCATACTATGTGAAAGAGGGTGTCGATGCAGTCACACTCCCGGTAACGTGGACTGAAAAGGTCAGGGTAAATGTGTGCGTATACCTGTAGGCACGGGAAGGAGGTCGTTTGGCGGTGACACCAACTTGAGATGCAGAGGTGGTTTTGTTCGATGCACGAGCCGATAGTGCTCTGCTATTTCGTCATAGGAGGTCAGCGGCTCGCCAAGGTTTTCGGGGTCCTTGGCGTGGCTTACCACACGGTTGACGAATTCTCGAGGTTGTCGATGGTGGTCTCGTTACTTGGGTTTCTCGCGTGCGCCACGATCCAGACGAAAAAAATGGCAGGTTGATTCTCGTCTTTACGGTAGGTTAGAGACCGAGGAACCTGTTCGTTACCGATAGCAACGGCACCGCGAGCCAAATAGGAAAGGGCAGTTTTTTAGTTGTTGAAAATCGTTGTGAACTTAGAGCACGCAGCTAAAGCTATGGCCATTTTTTCGGCTTCTGCTAGGACCCACTTCGATGGTGTGGAGGGCACGGATGGAGCCGGCTACTCATAAGACTGCGTCGGTATGGATGAGGGCGCGAATAGCCATAATGCTGAGTCTGTACGCGCATATTTTTTGGCAGTGGCTTAATAAAAAAAAGTCGACGTAAGGGTGGAGGCGCGCGCAAAGTTCCCCGTCAGGGGAAGGGAGGCAAAAGTTCCTCGCAGCACCCCGCCTTCATATCATGTCAATGTATGGGGCGGCCTTTGCCCCCCGCCTCCTAGCCACCGAGTTGCAGTGCCCCACTCTCTATTATGTGAATGTGTGTGGCTGACGTTTGACTTTGCGCCCCCTCCCCCTTAGACGACAAAGGGGGGTAACCCTGCCCCCCTCCTTACGCCATTGACATTGACGTGGATGCCCGATGAAGCAGGAGACTTATTTTTTCTTACCTATAGATGTCTTTTTACGTGTATACATCTTTGTTTGAGCTAACAAGAGATGAATCCACTCTCGATATTTCTGCCTGTTATTGTTACAATAAATATCACGGGTTTATCTGTGATTTACCTAACTCAAAGAATATTTGCTTGCTTAATAAAATAAATATTTCAGACCTAATTAAACAGCATTTGCAAGCATGCTAGCTGATGATGGAAAGTTAAAAAATAGTATACCAGCACAAACGTAACAATACAAGGATGATTCGAGAAAGGGGGTCAGCACTATGTCCTGTGTGCCATTTGTGCCTTGTTGCGCTGGTGCTGAAGCACGAGCGTAACAAAACACAAATCTTGCTGATTGTTCACAACTATAGCTATGAGCCATTGGTCACATTAACAGGTTTGTAATGTTTGCTGTCTGTAGGTGCGTTAAGCCACCTAAAGATTGCTAGCCCTTGGAATCATGAGAGTCATCACCCGGCATATAGGTGAGTGCTTCAGCTTTGCACGTAGTAGTTGGCCTCTTTGTGCTTCTTTTTGAGCGTATGCTTCAGCGTCTTCTATGTATAGAGCTACGGTATAGACTCCATCATAGATATGTATTTCCAGCACTCAACAGCTCGTTAACCTAGTACTTAAAGGGACACGAAAGAGAAACCCGATTTCTCGCGCATTGGCAAATTAGATTTTCTCAATTACAAAATCACCGCGCTTGCTGCGAGAAGGCGCCTAGTGAGAGAGAAAGTGCGTGAAAAAAAAGCGCAGTTTGCGACGCCCCCTAGAAATTGGCTCTTTAAGCACCGGGACATCGCTAACTTGAACGGCTAGTACTTGGCCGCTTATTTCGTATTCAGCTAAAATGCAGTACATTGTCTACTGAGGGGGCTATAAACTTAACGTACCAAGATGGTGCCAAGAAAAGTTAATTGCGTATACGACAAAAACTTGATTGCGCTAATGTCGCCAAAATACGAAAAATGCACTCTGTTCCTGTGACTTAACGCGTGGGGATGTCGGCGTGAAATTTAGCAATAAAACTTCGACCTTGAGTTTCTCTGTTATTAATGCAAATAGGGATGGTGAAGCTAGTGGTCTTACAGTTTTTGATATACAATGTATCAATTTTAACCAATTCATTGCTTGCGCTTTAGTGGAAACAGAAAGCGCACCTCTTTTTTCTCTTCAAAGGAGAGGGCAAAAGCGCCCAAATGAAGCTTAACACTGATATTTCCTCAGCGGCTGGTGCAAAAGGCGTATGTAATAATGGACCGTACCAAAACAGATATGCATATTAGCGTGAATGTAGGGTGCTCATGTGCTATTTGGGAATTCTGTTGCCTTTTAAAAATTTCAGAAATCTACGTGCGAGCCATGTTAGAAGATTACTTCGAAACAAACTGTTTAGCGCGTATTAGTGATCAAGTTCATTCAATAATATTGCTGAAAACTGGCCAGCAGCAGCCAACAATATGCACAAGTAGCCATAGCGAACTTTACTGGCTACTAAGGCAGCTGAAAATGACCGTAAGAGAAGGAGACACGTCCCAGATGTCAGAAGAAACCGCAAGCTACGCAACACAGCACAATATAATGAAAAATGTTCACCCAAGCTCCGTTGAAGGGGCGGAAGATGCCGTCTCAAAGCGGATGGTTCTACTAATTCTTCAGTGGTTCACACATGCTCTTAGAGACACTTCAGACATCGATGAAAGAGAAAAAAATGGAATCGATAGAACACGAGTTTGTACTGGTGGGGATATTGGTAACGTTATGAATACAGTAACTTGCATGTAGAAAAATAAAAATATAGGCAAGTTGCTAGGCGTCAGTATAAGGAGGATTAGGTGCTTGCTATGAAAAAAAAGCTAGCTAAGTATGTGTAAAACGCCGTTTAAACAAGTCGAAGTTTTGCACTTGAAACATCATTTTTCTGTTTTGTTTTCTTAGTTGGCGTTGCTCTCATTTTGTTTTGTTATACCGGCAGTGTATATTTCTCGGCTATCTAGTTCGTCTTCAATTTTTTTTTCATTATTTTCTTACCTAAATATTTTCGCTTTTGCTTATGGTCAAATATTGTCAAAGCTCGAACGCCATTGCATAGTGTGCATGGAAGAGCGTAACAAGGATGTCTTGTAATGTAAAAAAAATGAAGAAATTAGATAGTTTTATGGGCGCGTTCGCAGGCTCCATCCGGCTTCCATGAGTCCTGGGTGGCATTGTGGACCAGACATGCCTGGCATGGCACCGGCCTGTGCGGCTCGAGCGGCAACTGCATCGCGTACGAAGCCATGGCTGGTGGCATGTTGTATTCGCTGCCAGTCATGGCTCGCCTTGTCTATGCTGCTGTACTACCTGTCACTCCTGGCACACCACCGCCACTTGCGAATGCGAAAGGACTCCATACCAATTCCCGTTTTGTACGTGGGTTCCCGCTCACAGACCATCGCGTCTCCCGCCTCCCTCTCGGAGACCACTGTGTCCCCCGTCGACCCTGCCGAGCCCTCACCTGGGCAATGATTGGCGGCAAGAAACTGTGGTATCAATCAACTGCTATTGCACTATGGATACCAGTCAACAAGCCCAACTCTCCCTTTTGCTGCGGTATCAATCACACAATACGTACGTCGTACCTCATTTACTTCTATTATGCTCAGCACATCTTATTATAGCCTAGAACACGTGTAAAGACAATAAAACATGCCTTGCGAAGCCATGTTGAACCAATGATTCTTTGTCTCTGCTGCAAAGATGACATATAACCACAGATCGACCATGCAACGGTGGCGAGTAATCAATATTGTTACGTACCGCGAAGGGTACATGATGAGATTCGAAGTATAGGTACTATAAGATACCCTCACTTCAAAAAGGCATACGTGGCTTTACTGACGTAACGTACGTAAAAAAAGCCGTTGGCGGTTTCTAAGATACGGCCGGGTCAGCCGTAGCTTTCTTGCGCACTGCGCGACACGAAAGGACTCCGCAAAGTGAATCTCGTCACTCATAGGAACGCACCGGGTTCCCCATCAACGGGTGTAAGAATACACAACATTTTCAGGTCGTTGAAGGCACGTGTATTCCGTGCAGTGTGCTGAAAACACACTGTGATGCCCGCACTGCATGTAGCGATGCTCTCTGCTCTTCTAATACGGAACTGTTGTGAATAGAAATCATAGCATTGTGAATGCCTTTATATCTAGTATAGTGTTCTCATTAAGTGTCCCGCATTGGAAGCGGACGTTCAATCGGAGCGTCGGCTGGTTAAGCGTCCCACCTACGACTAGAGTACCAGGTTCGATTCCCTGTGCCGACCGGAAACCCAACGCTTTTTTTTTCTAATCGGAAGATGAGTAAGCGATCGAAGGGTTAGTTGTTCACACCGTCCTCATCTCGAAAGATGGCCCTATAAACAAGGCTCTTCAAGGCCCCTGGGTGCATCTTTATTCACCACAGCCTTGGCAAAATAGTTGAGCATCAGCCGCTGCTGTGGAGGCAGAGAATTACTGCCACTGGTTACCTACCAGTAAAATAGGCACAAACGCACTTCCGACGTAGCGCTCGGCAGAACTATATACGTACACTGTGGCACGAGAGGGGCACCCACTGTGTGAAAAATTGGCGGCGTGATACTGGAATACCTAAAAATAAAATCATCCTTTTTTTGAAAGACTTAGTTATGTGGCAAATATATCACTATACCACAGGCTATAAATAAACTGCACTTTCTATTTTACATTTTGTATATATTGTTAAGACGTTTATTTAGCCGGCATCCAGCGAGCATACACAAAGGCGACAGTCACGGCCAAGCAACGACTCTCAGCACGAGCGCGTCCTTGTTGGGTAGCCCCACTAGAAGGTACTCAAATATTCAACCTATTCAGAGTTTGGAGGCTTCGCTACAATTACCCCGGGGTCGAAGAGGGAGCTGCCTGGCGACCTAACAGCTTGTTACTATGAGCGGGTCATAATAAGCCTCAAACGCTCCCACGTGACGATGTCGCGCCCACGGCGGCGCATGTCCGAAGATTGTTCGACGGATTCGATCAGATATAGTTGACCGGAGATGTGCGCTCGATGACACGGTAAGGGCCTTCGTATTAGGGAAGTAGTTGGAAGAGAGAGGCCAGCTACAGATGTCGGGATTGAGAGACATACAAGGGAACCAGAAAGGAACGTGGGCTAAGAAGTGGCGGAGCCATCACAAATACTCTTCTGCCGCTCTTGCTCATGTGTCGTAAAGGTCTTGGCAAGCTCGCGACACTCTTCAGCAAGCCTGGCCGTCTCAGAATAGGTGCACACTCAGATGAATCCGGCGTGTACGGGAGTATCGTGTCCATGGTGTGTGACGCGTGCCTTCCGTTCAGCAAGTAGAAAGGTGAAAAACCGGTCGTGCTTTGAGGGGCGGTGTTGCAGGCGTAGGTGACGAAGGGCAGTATATTATCCCAATTCGCGTGGTTGGCGGCGACGTACATGGAAAGCATGTCGCCGAGGGTGCGGTTAAAGCGTTCAGTGAGACCATGTCGTCTGCGGGTGGTAAGCAGTAGTTTTGCGGTGGACAGAATGGCACTCGGTCGGAATGTCTTCTACGACTTCGACAAGAAAGACACGGCCTCGATCCGCTGAGAAGCTCCTGGGGTGGACCGTGGCGCAGTATGAATCGATGCAGCAGGAAGGACGCAACATCGCGCGAAGTAGGCGTCGGGGAGAGTGGCGGTTTGGCGTATCGCGTTGAATGGTCTACGGCAACGATGGCCCAGTGGTTACCAGCCGACGTCAAAGAAAGTGATCCATACAAATCGATACCTGTACGCCCAAACGGACGCCCAGGGCAAGGTGGTAACGGTTGCAGACCGACTGGCGACATGTGTGCTGACGGTTTGCGGCGTTGGCAAGCTAGGCAGGAGCGAACGAACTGCTGCACGTAGCGGTAAATCCCGCACCAGAAGTAGCGTTGTCAAATGTGATAGTAGGTTTTGAATACCCCAGAGTGCGCGCATTGTGGATCAGAATGAAAACATTCACATATCTCCGACTGCAGACTGCGAAGTATCACGAGAAACCACTGCCGGCCATCGGCGTAACTGCGTCGGTGTAGGAGGCCATCACGAATGGCGAAATGGTGAGCTCGACGACGCAAGGCACGCGTGGATGGTGTTGTGGACGGATCAGAGAGCAAGTTGATCAGCGGGGCGATCTAATTATCCTTTCTCTGTTGGTAGTGAGGATATCAACATCGATGGCAGAAACAGCAACCGAGGTTACTGAGCCGGGCACGTCGTCTTGATGTAGAGGGGAACGCGAGAGGGCGTCGGCGTCAGTATGCTGGCGTCCGTTGCGGTACAGCACGCGGATGTCGTAGTCTTGTAAGCGAAGCGCCCAATGAGTGAGACGGCCTGAGGGATCCTTGAATGATGAAAGCCAGCATAGTGCATAATGCTCGGTGACCACATCGAATGGGGGACCATACTAATATAAATGATACTTATGCATAAGACGCCAATTGCATGAAAATATAGCTTTTTTAAGAAAAAGAATAGAATGCCTTGTGAAAAAATGGTTTCTCTGTGAGAAATTTATGGCAGCATTGTGTATAGAAAACAGTAGTTTTCATGCTTCATTATTGGAAAGGTACGCGAGCAGGAAGCCCGATGTTTCGGTATAGTTACACAGTCCCCCATAATTTTACAGGCTCTTCGTGTTGCTAATAAGGAAAAAAATCGCCGCATACCACGAACATCCTCAGCATAATCCGAAAACGTGACGAATTCAAAAGCTCCATAGACGATACTGCAGCCGATATCGTCTTGTTAACAGAAACGTGGTTAAACAGGGACGTCAGTTACTGCGAAGTTTTTCCATCCGACCCCAATTTAACAGTATATCGACGTGACCAACGTGACAGGCGAGGTGGAGGAGTACTGATTGCCATTAGAGACAGCTTATCATCCTCACTAATCACTCACGACGACAACATTGAACTAACATGGGTATGCGTACACAGTACAATTGGCAGAATAGTGTTTGGAATATGTTACCATCCACCAGACACTAGCCCCTCCTTTTGCGAGAAGTTACGTTTTTCTCTAGAACAAATAAAAAAAGATACGCCCGAGGCACCAATCTTCCTTTTCAGAGACTTTAATCATATTAGCATTATTGGTCGTTACTTTCAGTAGCCAACAAATCACCATCTAGTGAACCTAAGCAATTTCTTGAATTCACTCTGGATTTTAACCTGCACTAAACAGTTACATGCCCTACGAGGGGCGACAACACCCTAGATCTGTTATTAACATCTTGCCCTGAAAACATTGAGAAAAATGTGACTTTGCTCCCTACCTTCAGCGACCATAGCCTCCTTGATATCAGCATTTCTCTGCCTATAAAATAAGGACGCCCCAACGCAAAAATTAATCACCGATCAAAAGCACATAATTACCGCCCTATTTCGTTAACCAGCATACCTTCGAACTGCTAGAACACATTATAGCACCAATTTAATGAACTACCTTCAATCAATTAGCTTCTTTTATGTGCACCAGCATGGTTTCAGAAAACTATTGTCGTGCGAAACTCAGCTCTCAGAATTCACCGATGATATCTTGCAACATATGGACGATGATCTACAAATTGACGCCATCTTCCTCGACTTCTCGAAGGCCTTCAACCGTGTCCCACACAATGTGCTGCTTGCAAAACTATCTACTCTTGAATCCCCCCGAAACTGATTACTGGATAGAACATTCTTAAAAGGACGCGTACAATACGCAACTGCCAATTCTCATGACTCGCAAATTTCTAATGTTACATCCGGTGTCCCCCAGGGAGCAGGCTTATCCCCCTTATTATTTTTAATTTACGTCCGTGACCTGCCATCTAACACAAAAACCAGACTTCGACTTTTCGCCGATGATTGAGTCATTTACAATGCCATTCGCAAGTCTAGTGATTCCACTGATCTTTAGAAAGACATTGACACTATCGCTGGATGGTGTGGAAAATGGCTCATGCCACTTAACCTTAATAAGTGCCAATCCATGTCCTTTTCCCGTAAACGCAGCATCGCAAAACACGCATACCATATCAATTCAAACGAAATAACTCGAACAGACTGCTATAAGTCTCTAGGCGTTCACTTGACATCGTCATTATCATGGGTCGCTCGCATTGAAACAATATACGCACATGCTTCACGCACACTTGGATTTTCGCTCCGATATCTCAGATCTGCACCACCCGCTATTAAAAAACTTGCATATCAGACATACGTTCAGCCTAAATTGGAATACGTTTAATATATCTGGCACCCTTCACAAGCATATCTCGCCTACGAACTAGAATCCATCCAGAATCGTGCTGTTCGTTTCATAACGTCAAACTACTCGGGTAAATCTGGCATCACTGAACTCAAACACACACTTAATCTTCCATGTCTCCAATCACGTCGAATCGTCTCGCGTCTCTGCTTGCTTCACTCTTTATAATATCACCCACTTGCCAGGCATCCTCGTCTT